CAATTAAAAACATTTTATTTAGGCCTATCTATGGCCTTCAAAAAGTTGACGACTCTACATGTTTCAACGTTGCTAAAATGTTTTTAATTGTGTACCAGTTTTAACGTTGAATATTATTTATGATTTTAACAATTTTGCCTGCTCTAGTGTACCACCAAATCCTTTCCCCATCCAAGTTTCATCTGTAAAATGAGATTTGGCAGTTAGAGGTGTCAGATTCTACTCCATCCTCATTTTCACTAAATGTTATTTTCGTCTAATTTTATTTATTTAATTTTTTTTTGAACAAAGCATATTTTGTAAGTATTATTTCATGTTATATAAACAGCCTAATTCCTTAAAATTAAAAATATTTTTTGTTTCCTATTGCTAAGTCTAATTAGTTAATATAGTAACATTAGCAGCACGAAACTTGTGTAAATCTATCAGATAACATTTTCATTGATTATAAATATCTTAACATTCAGCAATTAAAATGAAATTAGCAACTCATTATTTGTCTACTTAAGTTAATTGTAGAAACAAACATATGCAGTAGAAAATTTATAAAATATAAATTGATGTGTAACTGTGTGAGTTAGTACTATTACTACCAAGTACTAGACATACTACTAGTACCAACTTAAATGTTGACTACTTAGTACTAGGCCTACTACTAGTAATAATTTAGTGTTGACAGTAACCAGACAACAAGCCCCGGAAAATTAGACACCCAAGAAAATGGGGAAGTAAGACATTTACACACCTAATAATTTAAGAAGGATGTTAAAACTTTGCAACATACTTAAAATACATATAATGGAGTAAATTAAAATGGTAATGTAGTAGGCCTAGATATATATACAGGTCATATAATGGAGTTAAGGACAGGTTTGAATTCACATGGTCATTTTTCTAACCATTTGCATTTAAGATAGCATGAAAACTAAACCATTTCTTCTTTAATGATGTCATTTATGACCAGGTAAATGGGATCCCTGCTGGTTCCAACAATAGCCAATAGTTTTATATGCTATCATATAATGAAGTAAATTAACTTGGTAATGTGTGTTAGGCCTAGATATATATACAGAACTTTTATATGCTTATATAGTGTTTTACATGGAAATATCTGTTGTAAGTATTGTTTTATTTCATAATAAACAAGTGGTGTCTAAATGTCCTACTTCATCATTTTTTTTAGGTGTCTAGTTGTCTTGGATTCGGTGTTGATTACCGAGTACTACTACTACTACTAATATTGACTTGGTGTTGACTATTAGGCCTACTAACAGTACCTACTTAAGTGTTGACTACTGAATACTAGGCCTACTAATAGTAATAACTTAATGTCTGCTACTAGTACTAACTTAGTGTTGACTAATGAGTACTAGGCCTACTACCAGTCAGGCCCTCTCAGAGGTTGAGAGGCTCAGGCTATTACTATCTTTTGAGGACCCTGGCCATAATAATAAAATAAAAAAAACTGATGTAAAAGATATATCGTTTTATGTTCTGAAATTGTAAGAGAAAAGTTGGAAAACCTCAAAACTGATAAATCCTTTGACCAGACAACTTTTATCCTAGTTTTAAAGGAACTTAAAATATTTTATTTGTGAACCACTAGCTAATATTTTTTATAGGTCATTGAGTTGTGGAAGAGTTAGAAGATTGGAAGTTGGCTAATGTTAGTCCAACATTTAAAGAAGATAATAAACACTGTCCAGGCAATTATAGGCGAGTTAGTCTTACATCAGTAGTTGGAAAGGTTTTGGAGAGTGTGATTAAAGATGCATTGCAGAGTCACTTAAAGCAGTGTTGATACAGTGTCAAAGAGCCAGAATGGTTTAAATAAGGGAAAGTCTTGTTTAACAAATAAATATTCTGACATTCTTTGAGGATGTTACTGCAAGAATTAATGAAGAAAATATTGTGGATTCGGTTTACCTTGATTTTCAGAAAGCACTTGATAAGGTGCCTTACAAAAAGACTTGTTACAAAAATTAAGTCTGTGGATGTGGGGGAAATGTTATAAAATTAGACAGAAAATTGGCTGGAGAGTAGACAGCAGAGAGTAGTAATAAATGTAGTCAGATCTGACTGGATCACAGTTACAAGCGGTGTGCCTCAGGGCTCTGTGCTGGGTCCTCTGCTGTTTGTGATTTATATTAATGATATTGACTCTGGAATGATAACAAAATATTGAAGTTTGCAGATGATATTAAGATTTTTTGGGGTGGCTAACTGTATGAAAGATGCTGCAGACTTACAGAGAGATTTAGATCATTTGATACATTGGGCCAATATGTGGCAGATGATGTTTAGCTATCCAAAATGTAAGGTGGTGCATGTAGGTTTTCACAGTTCAAATCATTGTTACAATTTAAATGGGAATACATTAAATACCGTGGTTGAAGAAAGAAATCTTGGTGTTGTAATCGAAAAATCACTTAAGTCATGTAAACAGTGTATTGTAGTTAGCAATAGGGCTAATAGGATTCTGGGTAGCATCTATAGAAATATTGAATACAAGACAAGGGATATTATTGTTTTACTGTATAGATCACTTGTAAGGCCTCATTTAGAGTACTGTGTACAGTTTATGGCTTCCTTCCTCAAGTAGAACATTGAATTGTTGGAGAAGGTTCAGAGAAGAGCCACTAGGATAATACCTTGGATGGCGAGATTGTTCTATGAGGAGAGACTAAAATCTCTAAACTTGTTTTCTCTGGAGAGGAGAAGGGTCAGAGGGAATTTGATTGAAGTGTGTAAGATTATTAAAGGTATTGATAATATAAATCCATCAAACATTTTTGTGTTTAGCAGAGATAACAATAGGATATGGATTCATAAGTTCAAATTGTGGCAGCATAGGAGTCGTCTGCAGTTTAGGCAGTATTACTTTTCAAACAGGGTAGTTGACTTTTGGAATGAGCTACCTTCAAGGATAGTGGAGGCAGAAAATTTAACTGAGTTCAAGAAAAGACTGGATGGATACATAAATAGTAAGGAGTGGTTACAGCTGGGAGCTGGAAGGGACATCCTTGATGGCCTAATAAGCTCCTTTTTGCCCCCCCTTAACATTTTATGAACTTTATGAAAACAAAATAAGACAATCATAAGCCCAAAAGATAAGTGAAACATAATTTAAATACTGAACTTGTATATATATAATTTGCATCTCTAAGCTGAGAGTGTGTGTCACGTTTTGGTCTGATTGAGAGGCACATAAAAGCAAGTTGCAACACTTAACAAATGCAAAAAAATAACAAGTGTCTTGAGGCTCAAGCCAAATGGCCCTCCTGCCCCTTCCCCTGTAATTGGCCCTACTATCAGTACTACCTTAGTGTTGATTAATGAGTACTAGGCCTACTAGTACTAGTATTAACGTAATGTTGTTAGTACTAATAACTAATTGCTAGTTTGGAAATATATTAGTTTCTAATTTTGTTTTCTTATAAGATTACAAGCTGTGAAACTGAGACTTTTGTATATTGTTACATTCCAAATCAAAAGAAATTATATGTGCATTTTCACACAATATTGATTTTAACGCTTGAACATGGTCAAATATGTCCACTTTTGTATCACATTTTAATACAATTGATAATCCAAAATGTTATTCATCTTAGCTAAAATGAGCATATATTATACATGTATACACACACACACACATATTAGTAGGTTTAGCCTCGCACAGATTTTGTGTGATTTTTGTTTCATTCCTATTTTAAGGTACTATTAATAATAATACCAAAAAACTGAACCAGGGACTTGTAAAATGTATCCTACAACATATTTAGGCTGCCAGGAATGTGCATATTTCAATTATGAGGTTGACTTGCTATTAACATATCTTTTAATTTATCCATGTATGTATGTATGAATACGTGGTCTAAAAGAGCTTTCTTACTGATTTTTTGTTACTTGGAATGATCTTTGCGACCAATTGAACCAAAATGTTCTTAAGTTTTAAATGGAATGAATAAGAAGTATGACTTAAATTAAAATTTCTGTATTATGATACGTAAAAGAGAATTACTAAACTTTTCCTTCTTAATAAGTGCACACAAGTATTTAGATTTGTGTAAAAGACTAAATAGTATGAAATTGACAGTGACTAAAACAGAACTTTTCACAATATCAAGTTAAATCGAACTTATTTTTTTCCATAAATTTAACAAAACATAAATACAATAAATGTAATAATAAAACAACTAAATTAATGGAAATAATACTTTGAAATTATTATGAAATTCAACAAGGTTATACATGTTCTATCAAAGTACTTAATCCAAATAATACGAGGTATGACTCGTAACTTCTGCTGTATCATATAGACCTGCAGGAAGGGGCATGTATACTGGTCTCATGATGTCAATTTCCTCATGAGTCTAATGTATTTCAATTTTATCTCCAATAAGAGCATATATTAAAAAGGAGAACATCTAGCAACAATTTTTTTAAAGTGCCCTTTATTCTCCCTTGTAGCCATCCTATCTTCCCAATCTTTTCCTGCTAGATCAACTAAGAAGCAAAAATTGCTCTGAATAAAATAAAAATTATACAATAACAATTAAAACCAAATGAGTAAAACTGTAAGTTGTATATTGTAACAGGTTTTTGTGGATGTCGAACCACGCTGCAGAGAACAGCATCCACTCAAGATACTCTATTCCACTGCAACCTATATTCTTAGTATGGGTCAGTATATATCGTTCTCCAAAACGAATGAAACAATGGGACAGGACACTATTTACAGTCACTCACCATTAGCACTAAATCCTTGGTGTGTAACCAGTGTTCTTATAGTTTATGGTATCCTTGTCACCCAATTTTATTTCAGTCTCTAGTCTCCATGTGTTCATTTACTGTGTATTTATTAAAACCATACAAAATATAACATGCTATGTGTTTAAATGTTTAAGATTGCTGAGTAAATAAACTGAAAGACAGACCCTAGGCCTAGAATACCAAAAAAAGATATCTTTATTGCACCGAAAACAACAAAATATAGAGTATAGTTAAAAATGTTTTCTTTAATTCAAAGCTGTGTCTTATGTGACATTAGCATAGCATTTATCTAATATAAAATTATAATTCCTCAAATTTATTAAGGAATATTAAATAAGGCTGGAGGTCTGCTGGAATGTTTATTTTATTAAAAACCATTTAGAATTCAATTTTTTTAAGGGTTCTAGAGTACCTCAAAATGCATATCAACTCGCACCTAAAGCTCATGGCTATCAATGAGTTTAAACACATGTAAGATATACACACACATCTGCACCTTATTTCTATAATTTGGACCCTGAGTGTAACTCTACGTGCAAAAAGTGCACGTTAAAAACATCAACTTTAGGCTAAATAAATAAAATATAATACTCTGATGTAGTAATTTGAAAACATGCTGTTAAGTAGTGGTGTGAATTAAACGCATGTATTATTATACACGCTGTTAAGTAGTGGTGTGAATTAAACGCATGTATTATTATACACGCTGCTAACTAGTGGTGTGAATTAAACGCATGTATTATTATACACGCTGTTAAGTAGTGGTGTGAATTAAATGCATGTATTATTATACACGCTGTTAAGTAGTGGTGTGAATTAAACGCATGTATTATTATACACGCTGTTAAGTAGTGGTGTGAATTAAACGCATGTATTATTATTGGAAAAGTATCTATTCATTAAAAAGGAAATACATGCATTGTTAAAGTATATAGTATACATACACTTATATAAAGGGATTATAACTCGGAGGAGGATACGCACTAGAAGTGGTAGTAGATCGTTTCTGTCATTGTATATACATTTTAGTGTACTGAAAGTTAAAGTTGACAAATTGAAATATTTATTTATAGTATATAGTGGATTTGTTGTGACGTCTTCATACACTGAAAGATAAATTAGATCATATGTAACTTCAGCAAGCTAAGGTAACAATTTTGACATCATAATGGATAAACACTACACAGAAACTATACTGAACAAGCAGTGTCTGTTGCAATACCCTTATCACATTTTAAATATTGCAAGTTACACAAGAACAGTTAAAACTTTGAAAAGTTATTAAAGAAGTTAACCTCAACAATTTGAAATTTCAAAAAAATTTTAGTTCAGTGGCATAGTTAGAAGTTTTTCTGGTGGGGTGGGGGGGCACTTTTTGAAATTTTACTGGGTACATGAAACTTCTTTATACAATAATTGTACACTACTAGGAGCACATTTTCAGCAGATCTAAGGGATTTTTTTTTTCAACAAGATCTTTAAATGTTGTAAATGAGAATGAATCAGATGTAACTTGCCAAGTTCGGGAATAAGATAAGTTACGCTATTACAAATATGATGGAGGATCTTTCAGTACAATACCGGGCTGATGTCTTCTTTGAATACAAGCATAAAGAATAAGAGTAATACAAAGAAAGGAGGTGAGGCCCAGAAAGCTGGAAGTAATCACAAAAACTGTCCGATTGCACTGAATTCTTTCATCGTTGTTCATTGGATAGTCGGTAAACAGTGGGACAAAATTGATCCAGAAGTTCATGTTACCAAGGTGATCAGTTTTTCTTAATATAGCCTGTTCTCCAAGATCTGCATAAACTGGTTCATCTCTAGTGTATGGTTTCCATGTAAAGTTGTTTTGGTTTAGTTGTTCCTTAGGTGTAGGATTTCTGAAAGTAGCATGTTCAATTATTAACACTATTATAAGGTTGAACAGTGTAAAAAATAAAATGTTTATCAATAAAAATAATTTGTAATCGTTTACATTTTTTTTAATGTTTTACTGATTTTATATTACAGTGTTTGCAAAAAATAACCAGACCCGTGGAGGTTAGCTTTATACGAACACATTTATTGATTTGCTTTAGTATAGACCATAGCACTAAAGCACAGTATTATAGAAAGTGAACAGCACTATGTGGGTAGCTTGGTAAGAGTTGTCATTTTATCAACACCATGGACAGCTAAATAAATTATTATTTTAGCTTGTAAAGTATGATATATTATAAAGCAGTCAGCCACAAAGTGTGATAAAACGTCAAGATACTATATATATATAACTACAAATTGTGATAAAACGTCAAGTAGCTGATCACAGCGTGTGAAAAAGCATCAAATGATAGCCACAAACTCTGACAATACAAGTGATGACCTAAGACATGATAAAGCTTCAAGTAACCAGACTCAAAATATGATTAAGCATCAAGTGATCAGAAAAAAAAAAGTGTGACAAACGACAAGTAACCAGACACAAAATGTGACAAAGCACCAAATTACTGGCTACAAAGCTACCATAAAACAACGTGTGACAATACATCATCAACTATGGAGCACAAACTATGTATAACAAAACATCAAATGATTGGCCACAGAGTGTCATAAAGCAGCAAGTGACCATTTATAGTTGAAAGTACTTTTCTGGCAAGAGCTATAATTTCACTTCCCTCCCATTTGTTATTGGCTACTACTACTATACTATAGGTCTTACGGCTTAAGCTAGTTTCAAAAAATAACTTAAATTCTGTGATAGAACTATTTTTGTTAGGGCAGTAGTGAGAATTTGCCTGAAAAGATGGTAGTAAAATTGTCTTATTCAATAGCTGTATAAAAATATGCATATAAAAAAAGCAACTGCTGTTACAAATGGGTTAAATAACCCACACTACCATACAGCAGACTGAAATTAGGCATCACTAACAATAACATGCCAATTAATTTATATTCATTGTTTGAATAAAGGTAAAAATTGTATTTAATAAATAAGGATTTGAGGCACCTGAATATTTTCCTGTCTTCTTCTTGTTCTACTGTACTCACTAAACTTAAATGATGTCTTCTCGTCTAATTCTAACTTGTTTATTATGATCTACGAATATTTAAAACACTTTCTCTCCAGAGATAAACTCTCCCACGAAACCATGATCTACTGATTAAACCAATATTTTACTCTACTGTGAAGTGAAAAGTCTAATTCTTGCTCTATCTAATCATATTTAAACTTTCTTTAGAACTGATTTTAAAGTTGTGTTTCGTTACAACAATTAGTAAATGATCGAACCACTTGAGATGACGTTACAAAAGGGTTAGCAAGTTATCAACCAAGACCTAACGTACAAAAACTCAGCCAATAAAAAACAGCGCAAATGTTTGAAAATCAAAATATGGATAACAATTAATATAAGAGGTGATAGGTTTATCGTCAAAATGGTTAATCTTTGGGAGAGGCAAAACAATTGACAGATGCGTTGTTTACAAGCGAAACTCCTTGTAGTTATTCAGGAATAAAGATTTGGACGATTCTTCGCGAATTTCACTAAATTTTGGTTACAAAAATACCGATTTCAAAATATATTTCGATGAAAATTGTTGAAATAGAGTTAGAATAAACATATAAAATTGACTTAAATATTTTTGGCAAAAAATATTGTTGTAAGCGATATTTTGAATGTTTTAACGTAGGTTTGTCTGCATGCCACAATATCAAAAAATTTCATGGCGATTTAATAATCTAACAATTTCGTGCAGTATGTAGAAACAAGAATAAATTATAAATATGAGAATCAGTGAAGCAGTTCGTGAATGAAAAATAAATGAGTATTCTATGAGTGATCCGGTTCAGTGTTAGTACTGAGCATTATCGCGTCTATTCAGTTACTTGATCGATGAGACGGGAAATTAGTAAGCTTATTTGTAAGTTAGATATACATTAGTATCACACTTCTGTTGAAACGTTGTTTGTTAACTCAAACCTATAACTTGTGTGAAAGTGAATGCAACCTGTAGCAAACCTTATTGAATAAATAAATTAATTTGTTCTCGTTACATAGAGTGCACTTGGCATCGTTTTTACCAAACAATCCAAAAAAACCTGCTCAATAATAGAACATGTTACAGCACTTATTGTTAAGAAGTGCAATTATTTTAGCGAAAATGAAGTAGAACTTTGACTATCTTAGTATTCCGACTTTTCATCATAACTTTATGCTTTCTGTTTAAAATAAGTCAACTTTAAGAAGAGTCTGATAAAAAAAAACTAATTTCAGGGGCGGATTGGGAGCCTAAAACGGCCCCGGCAAATACTCAAAAATCAGGATGACACACACATATATAGAAAGAGAGATGTACAGTAGGTTAATCAGTAGCACTGGGACAGTATAAACTGGTTATTACCCCACTGGCCCAGGATTTTGCCCGGTGCCCCAATCCGCACCTGATTAATTTACAACGTTAAAACATGAGTTTTGAAGGATTACTAACATTTATTTCATTTGGTTAGTGCAGAAGTTACTGTGCTCTATTAAAACAAAAACAAAAAACTATTTACCCATGTTTAGCAAAGTTGCTCCACAACTTTACAAGCATGTCGCTAACAGCATGGTCTTCTGGGGTTCGATAAGCATTCTTGATAGTCATCTGTGGGTAGCCTAAGATGTAATACATCTCGCTTTCGTGATATGCACCTGAAAGGATGATAAACCATTGAATGTAAAGTATGCTTGTTTGATTGGGAATTTTCGCTCAAAGTATTATGGGCTTGTTGGGCTAGATAAAAGGTAACCAGTCAACAGTTTCATTACCATATCTTAATCTGCTCTTGTCTGACCAAATAGCTTGATTTGACTGTCACACTTATAGCACACCAACCCACAGCCCCTAAATTCAAAGCCTGCTTCGACGGCAATGAGATGTGACTCATGAATCCTCAAAATCATAGTCCAGTCACGCTCGACTCAGAATAAATTGTTTGTTTGTGTTTAAGCACAAAGATACACAGTTGGCGATCTGCATTTTGCTCACCATGGTATCAAAAATCTCATTTTTAGTATATACTAGACCACCGTGACCCGTTGGGTCAACCACTATTCAGAGGTTATTTTTTGACCGAGAAAATAAGCAAACAAACAAACAAACTCAGATAGATTCTTCAAGATATTGTTTTGTCATCTTACGGCTTTTAATAAAGATGGGAACATTGACAGGGAAA